ATAATATCAGTTAATATGTATAGTACTTATGATAGTGGAGAAGGGCATGTATTAAGAATAGAGCCACAGATGTTTAATAATCATTCACCTTACTAACTATAGATAAGAAATTTTCTTACAGACCCTGGGAAACTGGAGGATGAGACAAGGCTGTAAAAAGATAAGATGCCTCCATGGGTCCATTACATAGAAAAGAACAGACCAAGGACAGAACATGCTTTGAATTAGTTGCTATGCCCAGACCTTACCCCTCCAGGAGTTTGCCTCAGGAACGCTGACCACTCTTTGGTCCCAAGAAAGGGCTGACCTGTTTGTAACATCACAGAAGATTAGCCACCTGGTTATTGGACTTTGAGCTCCTGAGGCGGGACTGCAGACCCTCCCCTCCCTTTTCTCTGTTGCACTTGTAGCTCGAAGCTGCATGTAGCTATCTTCTCCCTCACTGGTGTATAATCAGCCAACTGGCAAGCGGGAGTCAGAGCAGAATTTCCAGGGTGACTGGCTGCTCTCCCATTTTTGCCCACAATAATGGAATAAATGCTCTCATATGATTCAACCCTGTCTTTGCTTAATTTGGCTCAAGGAGTGACAGGCGGCATCAGATTCCTTTGTGTCCAGTTTCACTTACTGTGCATCAGGGCACTTTCTAAGATTTTTTTTTACAAATAATTTCTTATCCATCCAATGAGGTATATTTATTATCCCAATTTTACAGATATGGAAGCAAAGGCCCAGAGAAGTAAGAAGCCCAAAGTCTTACAGCCAGTACACAGGACTTGATTTGAACCCGAACAACTTAAAAACTATGCTCTTAACACTGAAAACAGTATTTGCAATCAGACAGACCCTATGTTAACATCTTACTATTGTCATGCTCTTGGCCCAATTATTTAACCTCCTTTTGTCTCAGTATTGTTATCTATAGAGATAATAATGTATATCTCACACAGTTACTGTGAGAGCATAGTGAGATAATGAGTATGGAAAAATCCCAGCTCAGTGCTTGTCATCGTTGCTGCCAACTGACCTGAATAACACAGCCTCCAGAGTCAGGTTCTTTTCATAAAACAGGTAGCTTCATGCAGTGGAGTTGGTTAGTCAAAGGCTATCCGCCCTCCCCCCTCAACCTCAACGTTTGATGGTATGCTACTACGAAAGGGAAGTCTTGGATAAGTGCTGCTAAGTGTCTAAACATTCACTAGCAAACCGTTAGAAACACAGTCTTTTTCTGTCCTTCAACACTCCAGCCATACAATTGTATGACAGGCTCATTTGAAATACATTGTGAAGCCAGGACTGGCCAGGTCTCAAGCCAGGTCTGAGCCCAGGCAGGAGCAGGGGCCTCTGTGACAGGTCTCTCAAGAGCAGGGCTTGGCTTCTTCTTTCCCCCATTTATGCAATGGCAGGAGGGCGTGTTCCATCTTCCTACAAGCCATCATCTTGAATACTACTCATTTTGCCAGAGGAAATTATTCTTGAACATTTCCTAATATAATGAACAAACTCGCTGGTGTCTATTTCCATAACCATCCTGAAGTGCTTAAACTGCCTTTGGAGTGCAGATTTCTGGTTGTTCATAGGATATGAATTAGATAGAGTTAACTGTACACACTGGCATACATAAAACTGGCTTATTTCAAGTTATTATGGTATAAAGTATTATCACACAGACAGTTTGTATTTGGTTGGTAAATATTACAGTCTTTCTCCCTTTCTGGATTCTTTATCTTTGTCCATTCCCACCCACCTATACTCATTCTCAATATAATGGGTGACGAAAGCCTTTTGGAGCCCAAATATTTATAAAATATAATCAGAGAGGGATATATAGGGATGTAAAGAATTATACATAATTTCTCTCCAAGAAATAAGAAAGCTCATTATGTCTTTAAAAGGGCATATCCAGGGGAGAAACAAGGTGGCGCGTAGGTAACAGCTGCACCCGCCGCCTCCCGCAACCACATCAAAATGACAACTAAACTACAGAACCACCGTCACTCAGAGCCTCCTGAGATCCGGCTGCACAGAAGCCCCACAACCAGGGAGCTGAAGGAGCATCGAGACCAGGAGGAGGGGCGGAGACGCGGGGGGAGCGGGGCTGAATCGGGAGACCTGCTGCAGGCCCACACCCGGTGCCGAGGTTGAAACCCGGGAGGGAATCTCNAGACGTGCTGCAGGCCCACACCCGGTGCCGAGGTTGAAACCCGGGAGGGAATCTCGGCAGTGGGGGTTTCCTGGAGGAGGGAGGGGTCCCAGCCCCACAGCAGCCCCCAGCCCAGGGCTCCAGGCCAGGAAGAGACGTCCCCACAACTCCGGGCTGTGAAGCCAGCGGGGACTGTCCCTGAGGGTCGCGGAGGCTGCGGGAGCCCCAGCAGCTCCTCTAAAGGGCCCGGCACGGACTCACTCGGACGCTCCCTCTGAGCCCAGCGCCGGG